ACCCCTCCTCCACTGCTGGTGGGAGTGCCAACTTGTATAGCCACTGTGGAAATCAGTATGGCAACTCCTCAAGAAAATAGGAATCAGTCTACCAGAAAATCCAGCAATTCCACTCTTAGGCATATACCCAAAAGAAGCACATTCATATAACAAGAATATCTTAACTGAAGAACGGCTAAAGAAAATGTAGTACATTTGCACAATGGGGTATTACTCAGTGAGAAAAAAAAATGGAATCTTGAAATTCACAGGCAAACCGGGAGTTGGTGGCGCACGCCTTTAATCCCAGCACTCAGGAGGCAGAGGCAGGCGGATCTCTATGAGTTCTAGGCCAGTGCCATTATTGCTCTTTTCACACACACGCATATATATATTTATATATATGCTAATTGAAACTCAAATATGTGATGAATCCAAGGTGTTTCAGTGAGTGTTCACCTGTGCATGCAAATTTGATTTCATCTTTACTAAGTAGTAAAGTTATATGCTTGCCAAAAAAAAATAAGTGACACACTGGAAGACAAATGTCACACAATTTCAATTTTATGTGTAACCTAGAAATGATGAACTTATGGGAACAGAGAGCAGAATTGTGGCTATTAGGCTTCAATGTGGGTCTTTTAACAATGGGGAAAACATTGGTTTAAGGATATAAAACTGCATTTGGACAAGAGGCATGGACTCTGTGAAGTCTTGAGGTCTACTGAGAGCATGATAAATATGGTTAACAATATGCTATATTTTAAAAGTTGTGAGATAGTACACTTTAAGTGTTCTCAAAACAAAAATGATGAATATGTGTGATATAACATGTTAATTGGTTTAATTTAGCCATGCCATTGTGAACATACTGTACTGTGTATAATAATTGTGCATGACTTTATTTATGAGCCAAATAAATGAATGGAAGAAAAAAATGACGGTTCACAGAACCCAGATAAAGAAAGTGTGACTCAGGAGTATCCTGCTTGCTCATGGTCACAGATCTGGTAACAAAATATTGCTTGAGGAAAGTGCTATGCCACCTATCAATAAAGAAATTATTTCTATGTGGACATTTTCATTACTATTCATTTTAAAAATCACTGTATGTATGATTGTGTATGATTTTTACACAAATTCTGCTCCTGCTTTATGCAGTGTTGGAGAGATAAGAAAAGAAAAGCACTGGGTCAT